ATTGCCTCTGAAGCACGTCTGTTTCGACCTTTTCCTGTATTCAATTATATCAATGGAGGGAAGTGACTTTGTGGTCTCTCCTCCCCCCTTCTTCCCCCTTCCCCTTCCCCCCTCTTCCCCCTTCCCCTTCCCCCCTCTCCTCCCTTCCCCCCTCTTCCCCTTAGCAAAAACGACGAAAACAACTGAAAGAGGAGAAATGGATTAGAAAGGTAGGAGAGAGAGAGAAAAAAAAAGAGAGAGAGAGAAATAAAACGCCTTCCATTATCGCAATCCGCTTTTATAATCGTTCTGGCTGACAAATACAAACTGTGCAAATAAATGCCGCTTAGCATGTAACAACAGGGTATAGAACGAGAGGAAAAGAGAGAAAGGATTAAGATATCTCTAACTTAATTTAATTTATTCGCATAACTAGTAATAGAATAAAACACACACACACACACAACACACACACACACAACACACACACACACACACACAACACACACACACACACAACACACACACACACACACAACACACACACACACACAACACACACACACACAACACACACACACACAACACACACACACACACAACACACACACACACACACAACACACACACACACACAACACACACACACACAACACACACACACACAACACACACACACACAACACACACACACACACAACACACACACACACAACACACACACACACAACACACACACACACAACACACACACACACAACACACACACACACACACACAACACACACACACACAACACACACACACACACACACACAACACACACACACACAACACACACACACACACAACACACACACACACAACACACACACACACACAACACACACACACACAACACACACACACACAACACACACACACACAACACACACACACACACACACACAACACACACACACACACAACACACACACACACACACACAACACACACACACACAACACACACACACACAACACACACACACACAACACACACACACACACACAACACACACACACACACAACACACACACACACAACACACACACACACAACACACACACACACACACCACACACACACACACACAACACACACACACACACACAACACACACACACACAGATGCTTCTTCCAATTCTCCCCCCTCTTCCCCCTTCCCCTTCCCCCCCTCTTCCCCCTTCCCCTTCCCCCCTCTTCCCCCCTCTTCCCCCTTCCCCCCTTCCCCCCCCCCCCCTTTGCCGATTCTTTCACGTGACTAACCCAAGTGTGTCTCTTCGGACGGGAAAATAAACTGAATTCATTGACTGACAAATAGATCATTATTCCGAGTCACTGAATACGAAGGAGTAGCAAAAACGACGAAAACAACTGAAAGAGGAGAAATGGATTAGAAAGGTAGGAGAGAGAGAGAAAAAAAGAGAGAGAGAGAAAAAAAAAAGAGAGAGAGAGAGAAAAGATGTCAGGAAAGGGGATGATAGAGAAAGTGAAGAAGAATAAATGAGGGAAATATAATGTGAGAAAAAGTGTCAGAAAAGGAGAAGATAGAGAATGTGAAAAAGAATAAAAGAGGGAAATATAATGTGAGAAAAAATGTCAAAAAAGGATAAGGTAAAGAAAGGAAGAAAGAATAAAAGAGGGAAATATATAGTGAGAAAAAAAACAGAAAAGGGGATGAAGATAGAGAGAGGGAGAAAGAATAAAAGAGGGAAATAGAGAATGAGAAAAAAAAACAGAAAAGGGGATGAAGATAGAGAGAGGAAGAAAGAATAAAAGAGGGAAATAGAGAGTGAGAAAAAAAAAACAGAAAAGGGGATGAAGATAGAGAGAGGGAGAAAGAATAAAAGAGGGAAATAGAGAGTGAGAAAAAAAATGTCAGAAAAAGGAAAGTCAGACAAAGGGAGAGAGAAGAAAAGAGGGAAATAGAGAGTGAGAAAAAAAAATATCAGAAAAGGGGAAGAAGATAGAGAAAGGGAGAAAGATTAAAAGAGGGAAATACAAAACGAGAAAAGTTCGAGAGTAAGAGAGGAACGAGAGAGAGATATAAAACGCCTTCCATTATCCCAATCCGCTTTTATAATCGTTCTGGCTGACAAATACAAACTGTGCAAATAAATGCCGCTTAGCATGTAACAACAGGGTATAGAACGAGAGGAAAAGAGAGAAAGGATTAAGATATCTCTAACTTAATTTATATAGTTCTATTAACAACGACGGAACTACACATCGCATAACTAGTAATAGAATAAAGCACACACACACACACACACACACACACACACACACACACACACACACACACACACACACACACACACACACACACACACACACACACACAGATGCTTCTTCCAATACTAAACCCGTTTCCCAGAGCCAGACACACACACACACACACACACACACACACACACACACACACACACACACACACACACACACACACACACTTCTTCCAATACCAAACCTGTTTGCCATAGCTATTAAAAGCGCCAGAATAGTCCCAGGCAACGCAGGCGACACTCAAACACAATCAAACACATCTGCCGACGAAAACACGAATATCTAATCGAAAAAGAGAGACACGCACACACACAGAGACAGAAAGAGAAAGGCAGCAGCGAAATAAATTCCTCTAAAAGAAACAAGAGAGTAAGTTAGCTACCCACAAACAGCCCGCGCGAGGGGGGCCAGAGTGCACAAGTCTCAATACAAACAGTGCAATGTTGACACAAGGCCTGCAACCGCCTTTTATACAAGTGCAGGACGCTCGCCACGACAGAAAAAGGGCCGGGCGCTGCGGGTCCTGCATGCGGATGCGGGTGAATGGGTGAATGGGCGGGGAACGCAGGGGGCGGGGTCGCTGGAGGCGCATGGGGAGGGAAGGGGCGGAGAGGCGGAGGAATACGGAGGACGAAGAGGCAATGGGTATGTCGGGGGGGAGGGGGGGGGGGTAAAGAGGAAACAGTGCAAAAGGGTAAAGGGAAATGGTAAACAGTGCATGGGTATGGCAAAGAAATGTGAAGTAAAGAGGAAGAATACAAAAGGAGCGGAATCAGTGGACGTATAAGGGAAAGACATTAGTAATTTGGCGGAGGAATACAAAAGGGGGCGGAGTCAAGGGGTGTGTATGGGGAATGAATGGGTGAAGAGGCGGAGGAATACAAAAAGGGGCGGAGTCAGTGTGCGTGTGTGTTTAAAAAAAAAGGAAATGCAATTCAGAGGGAGCGAATGAATAGAATAGAGAGATAAGCAGATAAACAGATAAATAAGGTAGATAAGCAAATGGAGGAATTAAAAGAGAGAAACATTTCCAAACTATAGTACCCATTCACCTGTCCGTTCATGAATATACCCAATGTGTATATATCCTGGTGCTTGTGCGTGTAAACATATATCTCTATAAAGCAATGTTACGAAACGAATCAGCCACAGGAAGAATGAAATCGTGATGTTTTCGAGTAAAGGAATTTGGAAATTGGTCTGACTCGAACCGTGACAGTTTATTGTTTTATTTATTTATTCATTTTTTATTTTATTTTATTTTATTTTTTTTTTTATTAAGCCGTTATATATTGTCTTTGTACGCCTGTTGTTTTTCTCTTGTTTAAAGATGATGCATATTTGTGAAAGGGAAAGAATAAATGGATGTATACTGCAGTGAAGAAAAATCCTGATATATATTGTGGGAGTTACAAAATAATATTTTGAAATGTTTTATTCATTGATATTATTTATTCATTTACCTTTGCATTTCATTTAGTTTTTTATTCCTTTTCCCATTTATCTATTTATCTTACCGTGCGACTCCTGAAGAAAATAATTGACTAAAGTGACGGTTATGCAATCAATTCCTTCCCCTTAATTAAAGAATACCTGGAAATTTAGGTGATTTTTGCAGGTTGACTGTTGCCGCGAACCATTTTGTAAACTTCATTATTCCAAATTAAACTCTGAAAGCCGAGGAATGCCTTTGAAATTTAAAGGGTAAAAATACGTCTAAGGAAAGTGAATTTACAAACTGTTTTTTTTTTGTGTGTGCGTGTATGTGTGTGTGTGTGTGTGTGTGTGTGTGTGTGTGTGTATGTGTGTGTGTGTGTGTGTGTGTGTGTGTGTGTGTGTGTTGAAAAAACGATCACTGGGTTCCAATTGGCTCTGAAATACTTTGATACGAATCTTTAATCCCATTTCAGGTATTAGGAAGAACATTATTAATATTACATTTGCATATGACTGAAACCTCTCTCTAATACTGACATGTAAAGAATACGAAAATGTAAAGTGCATGAACAACAAACGTTATAATCGTGATATTTAAATGCTGCGTAAAAGAAATCATTGTTGGGAAATAAGATTTGAATTCCCTTTCTCTGGCTCCTAAGAGTATGAATATATATATTTATTATTTATTGATAATTAATTACCGAGAATCATCTTTCGAACCAACTATTTTCGTACGTCGAGAGCCAACTCTAGAAGAAAAAAAAGCTATTCATTATCAGTTAGTGAGAATCATCTTTCAAAACCAACTATTTTCATACGTCGAGAGCCAACTCTAGAAGAAAAAAAAGCTATTCATTATCAGTTAGAAAGAATCATCTTTCAAAACCAACTATTTTCATACGTCGAGCCAACATTAGAAGAAAAAAAAGCTATTCATTATAAGTTAGTGAGAATCATCTTTCAAAACCAACTATTTTCATACGTCGAGAGCCAACATTAGAAGAAAAAAAACTATCAATTATTCCTTAACAGTTAGAGAGAATCATCTTTCAAACCAACTATTTTCATACAAACAATCACCAATTTCAAAATTTACCACCAAACAACACACTAACAGCCATTCGACATCACAACCATCGACAACCCTAAACGCCCATGTTAGAACAGGTACCTTCTTTATACCTAGGTCCGGGTCGGATTATAAGGTACGTTAACTTTATCAATATCATTATTTTTTCCCTTCTTTTTATCTTTCAAACTTGTGGTTTATTTTGAGAGAATCTGAAAGGTAACAAAAGCGAGTATTCTAGGGATGTGGTTTTAAGCAGAAACCCATATGCGAACAAGGGTGTTTTGAAGGTATATTCGGCCACAAGAAAAGAGGAAGAGGAAGAGCAGAAAGAGGAAGATGATGAATGTGAAGATAAAGATAAAGATGAAGATGAAGAAGAAAATAAAATGATAGTAACAATAATGATAAGAACTCGAGTTGGACATTCAAGATCTGCTATAAAATAAATGAAATGAAGCATCAGAATTCCGCTTAATAGATAAAACGAGAGAAAATTGCATGTATACATATATGTATGCATGTATAAATGCAGTTATTTAACTATATACTTATTAAACAATTCAAAGGGAAAATAATACAATCCTCCTCTTTAAGACAAATAAAAGTCAATCTCCGTTTCACTGGAACTTGAAAATGGTTCTTAAGGATTCATGCTTGTTTTACCGACAATATGAAATAGATCCAACACTAAACGTTTTCCTAGAATGATGGATATATTTATTAATCTTACAATCTCTTATTTCCGCAAGTTTTTTTTTTTTCTTTTTTCTACGTGTACTGTACTGTCAAGTCTTTTGTAGTTATAACAGCAAATATAGATACATTCACTGAAAAGATGCTAGATTTCTCGCTAACCGCTATAGACTAGAATGTCCCGCTAGAAAAAAACGATTTTCCGCTAAGTTGGCAACGCTGGGCAACCGTTTTCTATGCGTCTTCTGTGAATCGCAGTCATGTCCTTTTAATGGATTGTCTTATGCACTACCACTGTTGCCCTCAATTTATTTATATTGTCTATTGATATTAAGTAAGTAAGTGATTAAATGGGATGAAAAATGGAACAGAGGAAAGGGCAGGAAAGAGGAGAGAGGACAGAGCTTGATTACAGCATTTTCGAATCCTGGATTTAAAATGATATAGCAACATATCCGCTTCAGAAAGAGCTTACGCATGCACTCCATCATATAATCAGATCAAATACAATGACTTTCAATCCAGCAACTTCAGTATCAAACACACATACACACACACACATACACACACACGCACACACACACACGCGCACACACACACACACACACACACACACACACACACACACACACACACACACACACACACACACACACACACACACACACACACACACATACACACTAACACTAACACACAAATATAGCCTCATCTAAGGCAATGAACAGTTTATAAGCTTTATTCCAATACAAAGCTCTTATTGCTATTAGAAAATAACTTTCACAGCGTATTGCATGATTAGTTTCCTGTTGATTATACATATTGCAAACGATACATCTCTATGTTAATAAATTATGCTAGGTCTGAATATATTTAGTCTCTTAATAATATGTAGTTGTATGACTTAGGTATCACTTCACTTGTTTTTACAGTCCTGATAATTCGCTATCACACTGAGACCTATAAAAGTGCAACATAGTACACAATAAATTAAAAAAAAAAATAAAAAAAAATAAAAAAAAATATTAGTGATGGATTGCGAAACGATCTAGCCAATCACCGGTCTCTTTACCTGTTATTTAATATTTACTACACACTCTAGTACCACTGGGTGTATTGATGCATGAATGGAATGTATAGCGTGGTAGTATTACTCTTCCTTAGTTCTTCTGTTTCCCTGTCCTTTTTTTTATCCAATTATTGGTCTATTTACTCATTCCCTTATCAAATTAATTCGTTGTATTTATTTTCCTCCTTTTGCATATGCGTTAACTCTGCCCTTTTTGAATTCGTCAGTTATTGACTGTGTCTTTCCTATACATACTTACTAATTCCGCCCCTTTTGTATTTATCTGCCTATTTTACCCTTTTATTTCACAAACCAGTGACTAATGGTCTCTTTGTATTTCTTTGCCTGATTCCCTTTTCCTTTCCCTTGTACACCCATTGACTCCGCCCCCTTTTGTATTCCTCCGCCTATTTACCCATTCCTTTCCCTTATACGTCCATTGATTCCGCTCCTTTTGTATTTTTCCTCTTTACTTCCCATTCCTTTGCCATATCCATGCACTGTTTACCCTTTCCTCTCCCCCCCCCCCCTCCCCGACATACCCATTGCCTCTGCGTCCTCCGGATTCCTCCGCCTCTCCGCCCCCTCCCTCCCCATGCGCCTCCAGCGACCCCGCCCCCTGCGTTCCCCGCCCATTCACCCATTCGCCCGCATCCGCATGCAGGACCCGCAGCGCCCGGCCCTTTTTCTGTCGTGGCGAGCGTCCTGCACTTGTATAAAAGGCGGTTGCAGGCCTTGTGTCAACATTGCACTGTTTGTATTGAGACTTGTGCACTCTGGCCCCCCTCGCGCGGGCTGTTTGTGGGTAGCTAACTTACTCTCTTGTTTCTTTTAGAGGAATTTATTTCGCTGCTGCCTTTCTCTTTCTGTCTCTCTGTGTGTGCGTGTCTCTCTTTTTCGATTAGATATTCGTGTTTTC